ATTGCAGCACATTCAGTGATGGAGTCTCACCAGATTGAACAGCAAGTATCCTTCTGCTTTTAATAAGGTTCAGGTTTCCAAACTTCTTTTGGTGAAAAAAAGAGGAAACCCAAACTCATCAAAGCTTTGCATTGCCCCAGAATGAACAAATACACTTTAAAAGTTACATACAGCTCAGCAATATTTATTAATGCTTAAACACAAAACCAAAGTCCTAACTAAGGCCTTTCAGGGAACAGTGTCCAGAGCACACATTTTACACAGGCTAAAGGAAGAAAGCCTTCACCAGTATCACTGAGCTCCTTACAACTGTCTTTGGCAAACACTGACAACAGTCTTGCCAATAAATGGTGCTCCCTTGCTCAATAAGAGAAGATGTCACTGCAGCTTCCTCAGCTAAATCACCTGTTACTCACAGGATGAATTCTTCAAGGTGATGGTTCAGTGCTACTTCTTCCTTAACAACATCCTAAAGATTCAGTCTTTCTTTCCCCATGGCTTTGCAGAGTTTCAGCCCCGTGTCTGACTTACTTCCAGCCCATCCAGATCAAGGTTGCCACAGTCCCCTTTGCTCTGAGACCCTCGAGTAATTTTTCCCCCACTTGTTCTCTTCTTCCATCCAAGCTTTTTGCTCCTCTGTGCAAATCCATCCTCAATTTACTGTGCTTGGCAATGTCCACTCACTTGGGAGAGAACACATTATAACTGACTGATCTTCCAATCCCACAGGCTATAGAGACTGAAAAACCAGTAAAGGGCCTAATGGGTAGCTCTTTGTATTCAAGGCAGAAGTAAAGAGTCCTGGTTTATTTTCACTACTTAAGATGAGACCTATCTTGGTTATCTGAAGCAGCAATGGGTTCAATGGTCAACCTATGAGGTAGCTAAAGAAACAAACCTACCAACTGAATACATATGAGACGACATCCTCTCCTGATCCCACTGTAACATGGCTGTCGGTAATGGGATTTGGGGAAATTGCTTCCCCAAGGATATATGAAATGTCCTTCTGGGATATAAGAGCTTTCCTTTTCACCAGCGTCCTCAGTTCTGAGCAGCCTTGAGGCTGCTCTTCAAAGCATTCTGAGTCCTTCTGGACAATCTAAGCTGAGAAGCAATCTAAGAGAAGCTGAGCAGCCACAGCATTGCCACATTTACTGGACAAGATTACGTTTGAGGACATGTGAACACTAATTACCCCTCACAACATTCCTCAGGGTGCGTTTTCTTTCTCAATTTATTTCTTCATCCACCAAGGTCAGCCTCAAAATACTCATTTGACTGCATGTGGGGAGCAGTGCATGAAGTACCACTTTCACTGGGTGGAGAAAATGAAGCAAAGGACTTATTCAAAGGCACCCACAAATGGAACAAATTCCAATTCCTGTTATTTGTATCTGTCCTGAAAATCTGCAATGCTTTTCTTACGACTGAAGGAAGATTTTCTGCAGTGTGAAAGTCAGACAGCTCTGGGGTTTAAAATAATACAAAAGGTCTGGTCACAAGCACATAAAGATGTTTTCATGTCCTGTAACCAGCCATGATCCTGCTGAGGAGCCCATAACAAGTTAAAGAGCAACTCCAATCGTCATGAGATAGTAAACTGTCTCACTTGTCTCTGTCTTGGAGTTATTCACCTTCTAATTTAGCAGCATGTACTTACTTACTTGATGCATTTAATGATTTCAGAGCGTAAATTTGGAATTTCTATTGACTTCCCAAGCTCAGGTTTAAAATATGCCTTGGAGATATGAGAGCAGTCCACCAAAGATACTTTACAGAGAGGAAATTCTCTGGTGTTATTCATTCGCATGTTGGAAAACAACTGGGAAGAAAGACACTACCCTGAGAGAGAAGTCTCATTCTACGCTATCATCAGTGTTTAGAATAACATACCAGAGAGATGAATGGAATGTGAATGACAACACACTTATGTATGAAATACTTTGGGGCTGGGGAACATTAGAGAGAATGACAGAAGTGTAAATATGAGCTCTGGAATCCCTTCAGCATTTGGGGGCCTTTATTACAGTCTCCAGGTTTGCATGTTTCTCACAGTTCTAGACTTGGATGACTCAGCAGGAATTCCTGTGTAATCACACAAAAAAAAAACCCAAAATGGTGTAGCAGAGAGAAAAAAACATGTAGTTATCCTCAGGTATAAAATTAGGTATGGATTACACTGCATGAGTTGCCATGGGGAAGTTATTAGGTGAAATACACGTGGGCTAAAACAGCATTCTAATAATACCTCGTATTCATACAGTGCTTTAAATCTTTAAGTATAATAGTGATTTATAATAAGGAATTCCTTCTGTTCTGCAATACCTTCAAGCATTTGTAAACTGTGAGCTCAGATCAGATATAAGGCTGAGTGAGTGTAAGAGATTAACATAAAGCTGACCAACTATTGCTGCTTTGGTGTATGAAAGATCCTGTTATTGTGATTGAGACTGAGATAATAATGAGAAATATTAAGACATCTGACAGGAAACTACCCTGAGATTAAATTGCTTACAACCCTCAATAACTGAAAGTATTTTTGTTTGAGATCGGCTTTTTTTCCCCCTAAAATCTCTATCATTTTGCTACTTCTGGAAAAATAGTTCTTGTCCAGATCTGAAGCTTAAGTAACAAAACTTCTTCCATCTCTCCCTGGGGCTCCGTAAGTCCAAACATCATTTCAGTTTGTCGCACAACTGCAGCTCTCTCTGGGGTCTAACATAACAGTCACTTTACATCAACAACCCTGCCTCAGTGCTCAGGACACAAATGAAAACTCCACAGTCCCACTAAAACTGCACAGACATGCTTGAGATACTGTGAGGACACAAGATTTTGCAATCCTCAGTTTGTCGAAACAAAGTGAAATTTAAAACTTATAGATGGTTTCAGGTTTGGGTTTTGCCCAAAGGTACTGACATCACAGCCAATGTTTTTCCTCCCCTTTCTTGCTGTTGATTAACCCATGGCAGGCAGCGCAAGCCTGTGCAGAGCCTGTGCTGCTCTGACAACTAAGAGCTTAAAACTTACGTGGGCTACCACTGCCCTCTGTTGGTACCTGTGCAGGGGGGCTCCAGCACAGAGCAGACCCATGGTCACTGCTGGAGCTGATCTCACAGATGATGCCTCTTTCGGAACAGTAAGAAAAATTCTGGCCTTTATTGCAGTCCTGTGGTCCCGTCTATGAGTCTGTAGCAAACTCTCTGGGCAACTCATTTTTCTTTTCTGCCTTTTTGTTTCACCTGAGCAATAAAAGAAAATTATCAGCAAAGCAACAGAGGTGTGCTTCTCTTAAACTAGCACCCATGCGGATAGTTAATGAAGAGAAGACAGTGGCCTTCTCTATACCTGGAGTGGTGAACGCAGATCATAGAATCCCAGACTGGTTTGTGTTGGAAGGGACCTTAAAACTCACCCACTTCCAACCCCCTGCCACGGGCAGGGACCCCTTCCACTAGAGCAGCTTGATCCAAGCCCCTGTGTCCAACCTGGCCTTGAACACTGCCAGGGATGGGGCAGCCACAGCTTCTCTGGGCACCCTGTGCCAGTGTTTCCCAGGGAAGAACTTCTTATTAACATCTAAATCTCCCCTCTGTCAGTTTAAAGCCATTCCCCTGGTCCTATCATTACACCCCCTTGTGATACATGTCTAGATGGATATAGCAAATTTCAAAACTCCTTAAAGAAAAGCATTGGAAGGGAGTGAGCAAAGAATTTCTCTCAACTGGGATACAATTCAGGGTACAGGTGACAAGCAAAGCGCCAAAACAGTAAATGTTAACCAGCAATTGGTTATTTGTCTTTTGAAATGGAGTTTTTAATTGGGTGGTGACTTCTGTGTGTGAACAAGCACAAGCGATCTGAGTCAGTCTCACGCTGGACTCAAATCACTGCAGAGATCAGCATAACCCTGACAGAAAAGGCTGTGTGGGAGCCTTAGAATAAGGACCATTGTGACTGATGTCACTAAATCCTGTATTGCCCAAAGCAGCGTGATTTTAGCGTTAACATCCAACATGACTAGATGATCTTTTGAGGTCCCTTCCAATCTCTAGCATACTATGATGCTCATTGTGCCAAGAACGGTATTGAGGCCAGATGGAATCTTCTGCTTTGACAGAACACTCCCCAGTACCCATGCTGTTGAAATGTTGAATCTTTCAAGCACAGGCATCTCACATCACCCCGTAAAGGAAGGGGCTGTGTGCAACTGCACCAGACACTGAGCTGAGGAGCTATGATAGAGAGCTCCACACTCACTTTCATGCAGCAAGGCTTGAAAGGCATAATCCAGATGGTCTGGATATGCAGTTACAGGAAGAGTGAACAGCCACTACATCTACATCTCCCTGTCACATCAGGCCTCCTAATTCTATTTAGGAGATAGGGACTGAAATACGAGGGACTAACTTGCTTTGTTTTTTAATACTAGTGAAGCAAATAAAGGAATATGATACAAAAGGATTTGCTGTATTTTTATGGACCTACCAGTGGAATCCTGAGGCAAAAACCACCTCCTGCATACTGAATGTCTGAAAAGGAGCTTGTATTTATCCATTTTATGAAAAAATGGGAATTTGAAGAACAGATTCAGGAGACTTATAACAAAAAAAAAAAAAAACATGCAGAGCAAAACGTGTTTCGGGGAAGTCAAAAACAAGACAACCCCACGAACATAATAAAGTTGTAACAGCTGAACGGTGATGTCAAATCACACCGGCGTTCCGACACGGCTCCTCCTTCCCTCACGGCTGACTTCCAGCCTGCACAACGCTGCCATTCACACACGCTGGGCTGGGTTCCTCCTCACCGGCGGCTCGGGGTCCCTGCAGCACGGGAGCCGCCGTGTCCCCATCGCTCCGCCCTGACCCGGCCCGGCAGCCCCAGGCTCGGTACCTCAGGCTCCCCTCAGCCGCCATGGCGGTGCCGGAAGCGGAAGCCCGCAAGCGGAAGCCCGCCGTCGGAAGCGGGGCGGTGCCTTCCCGGAAGGAGACGGCAGCGCTGCCTTAGCCCCGCCTCGCCGGGCCGCCATCTTGGCTGGGAGCCGCGGTCGCGCCGCAGTGGGTGGCGAGGGGGTTGCGGCCCTGCTCTGCCCTTGTGGCCGTCCCTTCCTTCCTCCTTCCTTCTCTCCTCTGTTCCTCCCTTCTTCCCCCGCTCCCTTGGCCGCCGGCTGCAGGCAGGCGGGGCGTCCCGGCACCGGAGGGGCCTGCTCTAGCACCGAGAGGTGAGTGGGGCCTGCGGCGCTAAGCGAGCAGGGGGGCCGCGCCGGCTCGTTGCTCCCTCCGTCCTGCCCTTGCCGCGGCTGTAGCCGTGAGCCTCCCGCTTGGCCTCTTGCTCCTCCGGCTCTTGTAGTCGCTGCTCGTCTCCTGTCTCCCGTTGGTGGGGTCGGTGCCCTTGTGTTGGCTCCCTGATCCAGCCGGTGCTCGGCGGCCTGAACGCGGGCCGAGTGCTTCCTTGTTCGCTCCTGGTGTATGGGGCTGTCGGCATGGGGAAATGGCTTTGTGGTCGTGGCTTCTGGAAATGCTGCCGCTTATTGTCCGTGTTACGATATGAACGGTCTTCAAGATAAGGCTTTGCGGGGTGTTAATGTCCCAAGAAGAGGGCTAAGTGCTCTGTTGTCCAGTGCCGGGTGAAGGGCGCTATTGCTAGACGTAAGAACAAATCCTTGTGTTATTAAAGCTACGTGATTGAATCCGTGTTAAAGTTAGAGCACGCTTCTTTAGAGAAAAACCTTTAATTTTACGATTTCAAATGATGGCTTAAAACCGTGTGTATTTAAGGCAAAATCTTGTATGTATTACATTAATACAAACAATGAATACAGTAATTCTGACCAAAGCCAGACTAACCGCGTTAATGTTGAGTAAAGTTTCAATATTTGACCACATAAAATTGTTCCTCATGGCTTAAATATTATTCCTATAATAAACTCTACTGGTCTATGTTCAAAGCAAAGGAATAGAAAGGGTCCCAGTCCTTTAACATACTTCTTGTGCCCAGTGCTGCTGTCCCGTTGTAAGCAGTAACTTATCTCTTTGTTCAAGCGGTTTGTTAAATGTCCTTTTTGTTCTTGCTCGGATTTCCATGGTAGCTTGCTAAGTTTCTAAGGGGGAAAGTGAGTTAAACAGCAGTTGCTAATTGGTGTGTGTTCTGTAGGTGCATTGTAAGGGCTAATGCTTGCTTTGTCTGGTAAGCAGCATGGAATTTCCTTTCTTCACACAGACTTGTCTCGTTTTGGATGAGGGCTTTGTTTCTCTGGAAGGGAATAATCTGGCTCAGAAGTTCCCTTCTGTAAATTCAGCTGACTCTTAAGCAGGGTTTAATGTGAACTCCTGCACCTCAAAGGCAGGAATGAGGTTACTGGGGGGTTTTGTTATTTATTTCAAATAATGGATGTGTAGAAACACCGAAAGAATTTAAACCATGAGCAAATGTATACAGTAGATATTGACATGGAATAGGGAAATTAATTACTCGGACTAAGCCCTTTAAAACAGTGTCATAATGATGTGTGTTCAGCCTAAGTACAGGACTGGTTATTAAGAGTTCAAGTGGGTTCTATAGTGCACCGTATTTCCTGGTATTTAAACAGTGCCAGAGTCTCTAAGGAGTGTGTTGATTGGTGTCCTGGTTAGGATTTTGCATGATTCTTGCCATGTAGAAGTTACGGTAATTAATATTTAAATAAGTACTCTGTAAAGTAGCTTTGGCAGATAAATGGATCTGTGTTCAATGAGGCACAGAAGCTCTGTATCTATTAAGACTGTATTCAGATTGTCTTATATATATTTCTTAACAACTAGATGAGCAACAACAGTAATAAGAGAGCACCAACAACAGCAACACAGAGACTTAAACAAGACTACCTTCGAATTAAGAAGGATCCTGTGCCTTACATCTGTGCAGAACCCCTCCCATCTAATATCCTTGAATGGTAAGAATTAAAATGTTCTCTGTTGTAGAGAGAACAAGATTTTCTGGGTCATCAACTCTGGCTCCCTCACTCCTACAGATTGAGTGGGAATCTGGGTTTTGGGAGGTGGAGTATGAAACTTGAAGTGATACTGAACTTGATTTTACTAGGGAAGTTGTTGGCTGCTTGTATGATGACTTAATGCTGCTTAAATGTCTTCTGTATCTTAGGCACTATGTTGTACGAGGACCTGAGATGACTCCCTATGAAGGTAAAAGTTTGCTTATAGCAAAGTTGTGTGTGTGCTTGGTTGTGATTGGCATGCCTGAGTAATTCCATGTCTGTTTGAATGGGCAAAACGTAACTGCTGTAAAGAGCTCTAAAAACTCTTTGTGCAGTTTCAGAGCTGCCTGGGAGTTGTGTGATAGCTTCTGGAAGAGAGGTAGTGGTACTGCTGTCTATTAGTGGGGTTTCTGTTATCAAAGGTTCTAATAAAACCATGTTAAAGTTGAGCTGAGGACAGATAGCTTCCTATTAAGTAAATGCTAAAGGTCTTGGAGCAGATAACTCACTTTAGATACTATGTGACAGTCAAAAGATAGTTTAACGAAGTTCCATTTTGTTACTGAATAAATGTTCTCAGTGAACTGAGACACATTCTATGAATTTCTCTGGAGAAAGTGAGGAATGTGAAAACCTTCGTAATGTGTTGTAGTCACATATTTCACAATGTCTTCTGGAGCCTCTCACAAAGTGCTTTTTGAAATCGGATTCCTCATAGGATTGTTATTTGCAGTTAGCTGTGTTTCTGGGAAATGACCCCATTTGTATTGTGTTAAATACACTTTGGCTGGTTTTCCTTAAATGTGTTATGGGCTTGACAACAGAAAGTACTTTGTAATAATGCATGGGAGAGGATTGCTCCAAAGTAAATCAGCTGCAGATGTGGCTTATTGTTATTCTTGTGTCTGAGAGGCACAAGTTGATGACATTGATCTCTAGTGTGTGTGGGGGAAAAGGAGACAAAGGGTTTTACTTGGCCAATTTTGAGTAGCAGCTTAGGACTTCATCTTCATGCAAAATAAGTAATTCATCTCTCTGTGTAATGCAGGTGGCTATTACCATGGGAAACTAATATTCCCCAGAGAATTTCCTTTTAAACCTCCTAGTATTTATATGATTACACCTAATGGAAGGTTTAAGTGTAATACAAGGTAAGGATTTTCTTCTAACACTTAAGCAATTAACACTGTCTTAGCAATATGTATAATGTATAATAATTTTAATGGCAAAAATAAACCACGCTGCCTGTCTTATCCTTTTGAAGGTTGTGTCTTTCAATCACTGATTTCCACCCGGATACATGGAATCCAGCTTGGTCAGTCTCAACAATCTTGACGGGCCTTCTTAGCTTTATGGTGGAAAAGGGCCCCACACTGGGCAGCATAGAGACATCAGAGTTCACGGTAAGCTCCAGAAGCTGTGATGTGCCTTGTGTCACTTAGGGAATGATGGATGTGACCTAGAGGTTAAAACTACAGGCAACAGCTGGCATTTTAGTACCTAGAAATGAATGTGTTGCCTACTGCAGACCTGTACAGAACACTAACCCCATAAGATGAAGAGATGAGAACATAACTTGTGTCTAGAAGTGTCTGTTATAGTGAATAACTTTGTTTATGTGCAAGTGCTGATGATATTTGTTTCCTCCACAGAAAAGACAGCTTGCCGCACAGAGCTTAGCGTTTAATTTAAAAGATAAAGTCTTCTGTGAGCTCTTCCCTGAAGTGGTGGAGGTAAGGGAATTAATCCATGCGATAATTTGATTTCCTGTAGTTCTTCCTGCTCAACTTCTGAGAATGGGGGATAGCTTTTTAGGACAATATAACTTCCCTGCACAACACTAATACTGTAGGCATGTTGTCCAGGTGATTATATTGTCACTAAGTAGGTAACTGGAAGAAGTTGGAGAGACTGTCCAAATGTATGTAATGCAGTTAAGTTAGTTTGAAAGACCTGCAATGTAAAGAAGTGTACCATATCCTTTTCCTAGATTGAAGTAAGAACTTAGGCTCTGCAGTCTTCTCAAAGCACCCAATAGCTTCACCACTTTCACTTCCAGCTGTTCAAGTTTTCTTTCTTCTTTCTCCAGGAGATTAAACAAAAACAGAAAGCACAAGAAGAACTCAGTAACAGACCTCCATCCCTCCCTTTACCAGATGTTGTTCCTGATGGGGAAGCACACTACGGGCAGAATGGAATACCCCTCCTGAATGGGCATGTACCGTTGGCACCTGCCAATCATCCAGGTCTCCAACAGGCCAACCGTAACCATGGACTTTTAGGTGGAGCTTTGGCGAACTTGTTTGTTATAGTTGGTTTTGCAGCCTTTGCCTACACAGTCAAGTATGTACTGAGAAGCATAGCCCAAGAATGAGGATAGTAAAAGAAATCCAAGACCAAATTAGTGGTAGTTGCAGAATGAGTGGGACTCTTTGGGCATCTGACTCTTTGGGCATCATGACTTTGGGCATCTGACCTGACTAATGCAGGTAAAACATTGGTTGGCTCATGGGTTATGTTTGGGAAATGGAGTAGTTTTGATTAGTCAGAAAACTAAAAGAAGTTCTGTTCACAGTTCCTCTTGTCCTTGCTACTGTCTGGTAGTGGCTCACACACAAGTCAAAGCATTATTGATGAGACACGACCATTTCTAGTGCTTTGATTTTTATAGCAGTTCTCCATCTGTTGTTTGAAAATCTGAAGCAAATGAGGCTTTTTACTTTATGGAACAGTTTTTAAGACGTCACAATTTATGCATATCACATTTTACTTTCCTTAGGGGAGAGTCTGTACAGGGGTTGAAATGATTCAAGTAGAGATTCCGTGCAGACTTGGTAAGGGTTGGGTTCATGTGGACATTGATGCTACAGAAGATTGCTGGTTTCTTTTATAAGATAGAATGACCATCATTTCATATCTAGTCAGTAGTGATTACATGAGTGGGACAGTAACACCATGTGTGTTAAATGTGTTGTCTAAACTGTCACAATGTCATTGAAGGCTTTATTTGGGCTACAAGAAGCGCAGTTGTCAACCTTTAGGCAATTGAATTGGTCTTTCATGGGGATACCCATATCCAGTGTTGTTTTGGGTTTGTTCATTGCCAGATTTCCATCTGGGAGATGTTAAATTTGAAGCTGTAATACTTAGTTTTGATCACAAGGTGCCAGTGGTGGAATGAATAATAAAACTGCACACACCAATGGAGAGTTGACTGTGTATTCAGCAAAGCTGCTCTGGATTTCTTGGCCTTTGGTAAATGGAGTAACCCAGGCCCTTGTGAAGACTGAAAGATGAGTGAATAACAAACCAGCTTTTTCAGAGTCAGCTGAATTCATCTGAAGTGTCACTAGCTGAAGTAAACCCTTAATGTTAGTCCCACTTGCTTACTTGAAGACTTGCATAAACTCTTACAAACACCACCACCAAAAGCTCAAACCCTTCTGATTCATCTGAGATTCTAGAAGCTTTTTTGCTTTTAGGTGTAAGTTCATTACTTTTCCCTTTCAGATGACTGAAATACCAATGTTTGTTCACGGGATTATTCATGGATACTCTAAAGCTCCTAGAGTAGTTCAAAGTCTGCCTGAAATTACTTTATAAACTCAGTTTTATCCCCCCCCCCAAATTTTGTCCAAATACTTTATCAGAGGCAAACTTACTGTGCCTTTCATATTTGACAGTGATGCCTCATCATCTAGGGAAGAACACGCTGTTAATGCTACAACAACCGGTCAGAGGTGATGGCAGGGCAGGAGGCTCTGCATCTCACTGGCTAGTCTTAACCTATTCTGAAGAGCCCAAATAAATATTACCTCATCTATCTAAGAATGTTTTCAGAGCTGTTTTGTTTTCAAAGCTGTTTTGTTTTCCCTTTCAGATTTGTTGTCTCTCTGTTTCTTGGTATCCTGAATTGTAGCAAAACTGTTTTGTTAACCCATGAGGATGCAGCTTAGAGCATTAATAAATGTGACCAATTCTCTGCATTAGGTAGGAATGATCAGGATTAGCAGACCAGCTCTGTACTAAAGAAATCTTAAAGCAGTTCCTGCTGAGGTAAGGAAGGGAAGGAGGTGGGGAGGAACTGGAAAAGGCTGGATGTTAGAATGTGTTTATAAATCTTTGATTTTTTTTTTTTTTTAGATTTTGTTGTTTTACCAAATCTTATTTATAACTGTTTTTTAATTTACCTCTTTGTGCTTCATCAGCTTTTGTGGAAGGAGGAGTGCCAGGTGGATCTCTCTAGAAACAATTGTGTTGTGTCAGGCTGGGGGTGTCCTGTCTTTCCTGCAATGAGAGGGTTTTCAGGATGGCTTGTCAGGCTGGTGTATCTCCTCTCTCAAAGCACATGGACCTGTAGCTGGGGCTGTAAAGCCCCATAGATTTTAGTGACATTCAGACATGCTTGTGTTCTCGCAATGCCTTTTATTACCGTTGACATCGCCTACAGGCAGCAGCTTAGAAGCAGTTATCTACATTTATCTTCTTATCTTAAGGAAGTTCTTTTGTCCCCATACATGAAGACAAAGGACAAAGGCAAGGAGACCTTGCCATGGTGCATTTGCATCTTCCGATGTTTTGCATTTACCTAACCAAGGTAGAAGAACTAGCAAAGACTGGAGATGTTGAGTAAAAGGCATTTTATTACGTGGCAAGAAGGTGGCCTTAAGGAAGGTGGGGCTCCTGTTCTTAGCAAGTGCCACCATTGGAAACAACAAAACTTCATTTAAACCCTGAACATGCTCTATTTATTTTGAGGGTTGGTTGTATTTAAGAAACAAAACTTCCAGTTGCAGTTTCTCTTTAGTACCCTGGGTTCAGAGAAAGACTTGGCAGTCACTTCAGGTGCCATTGCTTGAAAGCTAGAAGCTGAGTGAACCCTTCCTGCTACATCTCCTTGCCTTTGGTAACAGAAGAGTTATTCCCTTCTGTGTAGGTTTTACTCTTTGTTCTGTTTAGTTTTTACATTCATGTTACCAAAGTCATTAGATGCAGGAAACCATTCTTTGCCATGCAAAAACTGTGACCATGCCCTGAAGCACTGCATTGTTTAATGTGGTACTAAACTAAAAGCTGTCCCTCGATATATGATATTGGAACAAATGTCTGGCCCTTTACTTTCATGCTGCAATTTCTGTCAGCTTGTTACACACGGGTGGAAGGGAGGTTTTGCAGCTTGAATCCAAAGCATCTCAGTGGTCACCTTTAACAACCTGGATTTATGGATAGTCAGAACTTCCCCCCCCCAAAGTTTCAAGGTCACAGGAGTTCCTTCAAGCATGTACTGAGGAGTAGAAATGACTGCATTGTAAAGCTGTTTGTTCATAATAAACATTCATGATGAAATTTATACTTTCTGTGGGACTGTTTTGGGGGAGGAATCATTGTGAAGCAATCATATATATATGGACTGTAAAACAAAAGCTGTGGCAGCACTGCAACAGGGGGCTGACAATATACCAGATGATGCTTTTCTTGCTGACTGGAAAAGGTCAGATCTTACTGTTCAAGGCAGAAATAACCATGTTTTCAGTGGAAAACTCATGTGCTCACAGGAAAGGGAGGCTGTTGAAAACGACCTCAGAGCATTCACATTACATTGAAAAGACTTTGCTGGGTGACGGCTGAGGATGTTTTACTGGGATTTACCAAGCACCTCTTATTGTCTGTGCCCTCAACAACGTCATTTCACACCTTGGTTCTCCAAAGAGCCTGTTGCAAGATGTTCCCCCATGATGTTGTTTCCAAACAGCTCGGTGATTCCATAGGTTTGCCACGAGGTGGCGTAGCGGCCCCGCGGTCGCTGATGGCTGGGCTAGGTGGGGAATGAGGGGGAATGGGATCATGGGGTGCAGAAGGCAGCTGGAGTGGCCCTAAGCTCTTGTTCTGCCTTCCCAAAGCTGCTCTTATGTCTGCTGGCGTAATGAGGTCTGTTCTAACAGCTTGTGTGTGTATAACCTGATGAACAGCTTGAGTTTGTGTTGGGAAACTTCACACCAAAACCAAAGGGATTTGTGATGGGAATACTCTATAAACTTTTATCTGCCATGAAGTGGGAATGTGTGTGTCAGTGAATGACAACGTGCCTTCTACTTTACTGGCTTAAAAATCACAGTCTCTGTATCAAGGCTTAGGAATTGTTCAGTATATCTACAATGGGCAACTCCAGGAAAATCCTGGCTTTTGACCTTTTCCCCTTTGGATATTATCCTTAGCTTAGGTAAGGTTTATCTTGGGTAAAAGGGGAACTGCATAAGTAGAGACTGACAGATCAAATCACAGCTTTGTTGCCTGACTATTCAGTTTCCTCCAGCTTTACACACGCTTGCAGTGTTTGCAAACCCTCCATTTGGCTTATTGGGCAGAGTTTTGATGTGTAAATGTGGCTTCTTATAATACCTTCCCTATGTCAACTCTTTCCTTATGCAGAATTGATGTTGTTACAGTCTTTTAACTATTCCTATTATTGCTGCAATGGTGCTGAGCTTGGAGAAGAAACTATTTGTGTTTTCAGTCACTTTGAGATCTTGGTTTGCTGAGCTGTGAAGTGCAGCGTTGGCCTATTGCTGCTTGTAGTTGTAAATGTGGATGGAATGTTGTTCCTGGATTAGCAAGACTCGGGTGCTTGGAACTGCTGCAACTTGGATGTGAGAACAGCAGCAGCAAAGTGGAGTTATCTACAGATAATACAAATGCTGAACTGAAGGTTGGAGGGGAGGTAACCACTGTGCTGGCACTCGTTTCAGCCCAACAGAGAGAAAACTATGCAGCTGGGGCTTAGATACAGCCACTGCTGGGCCATCGAGTCACTCTGCCTTGTGCTTGCAAACATAGTTTGGATTCATTCCCTTCAAGTGTGAGGATTTAGTCTTGGGATTTGGCTCTTGGAATGGGAGAGGAGATGTTGCAGACCGGCAGCCCACGAGAGCCATTGCCCCATTCCAGCTTTGAATGTCATCCCTTGCCATGGTGTGTGGATCTGTCAGGCTGTTTAGCTGCGATATGACAGATTGTCCTATTAATGTGTCATCAAGTGCACTTTTACAAATTCATGGCTTGTCTACAAGTAACCTGAAAAAAAAGAGGCTGAAGTAGGAGAAGGCGCCAAAGAAAGTTAAATATTATTAACAAATAAAGTCTGCCACGTAGTTTTGATGGAATGTGAGCTCTTGGGGGATGGGTGATAGGCTGTTAACTGTTTAGGGGCTGGGTAACCTCCCTTCTTACTCTCTCTTCTCTTTCCCAAACTCTGTTTCTCCCAAAGGATGCTGTAAGACAAACCCCAGACTGTGTTCTGCTTCTTCATGTTGTGCTTGGCTTGTCCATGCCTCAGTTTCCCTGAGCTGACACATACCAGAGCTGTTGCTCCTGATCCAGTGAAGTCCTGACATTTACAGCTTG